ACCTCTCTACTTGCACCCACGTCCTTTTTTTTTTTGGGGGGGGGGGGGGGCATGTTCTTGTTACTTCCTGGGTGCTCACCATGATAGGAAGTGAGTACAATTTGCCCCAACAGGGACACGGGATGGAATTTACCTCAAAAGATACATCAGAAGCCAAAACATTTTGTCTCATTTGTTTTGGACAGAGGGTCAGTGGGTTGGACCTCTGTCGGGTTTTTGTGCTATCCTGACTGTCACAGCGATAAATGATTGAAAGCTTTTAATTTAAAGGCTGTTAGTCCAGTGATCTGAACAAGCCCATGAGAGGCTCCCAGTGTGCAGGGACATCAGGGGAAGGAATTCCAGTCCAGGAGAGGAGCCGGTACAACTGTGCAAGACTGAAGGGAAGGATGGAGGTCAGATAGAAGACTGAAGGGAAGGATGGAGGTCAGATAGAAGACTGAAGGGAAGGATGGAGGTCAGATAGAAGACTGAAGGGAAGGACGGAGGTCAGATAGAAGACTGAAGGGAAGGACGGAGGTCAGATAGAAGACTGAAGGGAAGGAGGAGGTCAGATAGAAGACTGAAGGAAAGGTCGGAGGTCAGATAGAAGACTGAAGGGAAGGAGGAGGTCAGATAGAAGACTGAAGGAAAGGTCGGAGGTCAGATAGAAGACTGAAGGGAAGGAGGAGGTCAGATAGAAGACTGAAGGAAAGGTCGGAGGTCAGATAGAAGACTGAAGGGAAGGACGGAGGTCAGATAGAAGACTGAAGGGGAGGCCGGAGTTCTGCTTTAAGCAGTATAACGTGATCGGTTCCCTGTGCCCACACATGCCATCTGTAGCGGAAGCTGCACTATACACAAGCCTGTCTCTCCAGCAGCTGGACAAACAGTACGAGGCCTCGACAGAGCCGGTCTGGAAATCTATAATCCTGCCATTCCGGCGTCCCGTTTCTTAGCTTGCAGTATCAGTGAGCTGTGATGTCTGCGTCACGCTTTGATACGTCTCCATTATCTTCCAAAGTTTACACAATGCTCCCCCCGGTGAGGGCTCAGTGAACGCAGTTTTCTTGACACCATAAAATAAACAATGTTCCCGATTATAAATCGGCTCCACCGCTCAGTGAATGCACAAAAGTCTATCCTTTCCTTATACGGAAAGCCAAATTCCCCAAATGCTCCAATGAAATACATGTATGGGACCTGCTTGCCTGCCAAAGAATTGGAACATCTGTCCATCCAGTCTGTAGATTTGCACCACTCTGCCAGGCAGTCTGATCTTTCTCTGCTGCCGTTTCACTTTCACTTACAGATCTTCTGGACAGCAAAAGGAAAAGCGGCTCAGTGATGAGCTCATCCCTCCGTCGTTGTGCACTCTCCTCCTTTTAGCAAGCCCCTCGCACTGCAGCACGCCTGAATGGCACCTCGCGCTGCTTCTCCCTCCGCCTCTTTGAGCTCTGCTGCACAGGGACTCCAAGAGGCTGATACAAGGTCAGATTCAAGTGACCTAAATTTGCATGAATCTACCAGATTGTCAGCTTTCATGAGCAGGGCCCTAACCCTATTGCACTGAAATTGTAACTGTATTCGTTGTGTGGAACGCACTGCATCACAGAAATCAAGCAGGGCCGCATTCTGAGGCAGGTGCGGGCGTGGTCAATGGCATCTCAGACGCGCCCACAGTGCAATCACCCGCACCGGAATGCATGGTACAGGAATGCCGTCCATACCGAGGCAGTGCGATTGTAAAAAATAGTACATACGGCATTTTTTTTGATCGGCGGAACGGCGGGCATTCCTGTTCCGGTGCGAGCGATCGCACTGCGGGTGCTTGGGGGGTCTGCGGTGCCGCACTGGATCGCAGAAATCGAGTCACGTTGCCGTGCCACCACATCCCCTCCCACCCCAGAACACGACTGGGCTTGATTTCTGCGATCCAGTGCGTTCCGACCACGAATCCTGCTGGAACGCAGTCGATATGGTGTGACTGGCCCCCGAGACGAGGTTGGAGATAAAGCCAGACAGGTTGGGGTAGGGAGTTCAAGAGAATGGAGGAGACTCTAGAGAAGTCATGGAGATGAGCATAGGAGGAGGTGACAAGGGAGTTAGAGAGCAGGTGATCCTGGAAGGAGCGGAGAAGATGGTTAGAGTGATTCTTTGAGATGAGGTTGGAAATATAACCAGACAGGTTGGGATAGGGAGTTCCAGAGGATGGAAGAGGCTCTAGAAAAGTCCTGGAGATGAGCGTGGAAGGAGTTGACGAGGGCGCTAGAGAGCAGGAGGTCTTGGGATGAACGCAGAGGATGGTTAGGTGATACTTTGAGATGAGGTTGGAGCAGTGGCGACTCTAGGAACAATATATAGGGGGGGCACATAAGATGTTACAGTCAAATCTGGGGGGGCACTAATTTTCATTACATGTCGCAACCGCAGGGTGCCGTTAGCTGATTAAATTGCGGATGGCATCTGCGCCCTGCGGTTCTGACATGTAGTCCAACGCCGCCCACAATCCTGAATTATACAACCGTTTGTTTTTTAAAAACTTTTTTTTTATCTAACTTTATTTTTTTAACTTTTTTTATCTTAGTTTATTTTATTTTTTTAAAACTTTTCTTTTTTTTTACTTCATGGCTGGGAGCAATAGCCAGCCTGCTATTGGATATTTCAGATTGCAATAGCCAATAACAGGCTGGCTACTGCACCCACCCACTGCCTGCTGTCAATCAGCAGAGGAGGGACCTGAAGTTTTCTATCAGGTCCACCTCTGTTGATTGACAGCTGGCAGTGGGCGGGTGCAATAGCCAGCCTGTTATTGGCTACTGCAATTTAAAAGAGCCAATAGCAGGCTGGCTATTGCGGTCAGCTGCTGGAATGAAGACAATCGCAGACGCCGCGGAGAGGTGAGTAGACTGCAGGGGAGGGGGGAGCTCACAGACTGTTGGAGGGCTCTGCTTACAGGCTGTAATCGAGAATCTGTCCCCACTGACATCGCTACAGCATGTAGGGAGAAACTGCTGACAGTCTGTGAGGCTGCAGCGGGGAGGACCCCTGTCCCAGCAGATAACTGTGTGATAACTGTCCTGGGAAACGACAGGATCACCAGAGTTTAGATACACTTTAAGTTTATGGGTGAGGGTTAAGGCCCCGTTCACACTTAGCGATTTATCGCGCGGTAATTCCCACGATATCGCGGCAATTTACCGTGCAATATCGCTCTCCAATGCTTCTCAATGGGGCAAAGGGTCCTGCTGTGGCGGGTCGTGCGTCGCTACAGCAGGACCCTTTTTGGAGCGGATTTAGCCGCGATCCAAGCTTGCTCAATGCAAGCATTTGCGCGATAAACGCGCGATTTGCGAATCGCCAAGTGTGAATGGGGCCTTAGTGTTAGGCTCATCCTTAGGGTTAGTTAAACATATTTCGGGAAGGGGCTGATAGGGTTTCATTTTTTTTTTAAACTTTTTTAATAGTTTCAGTGAGAAAACCCCCCACCAGGTGTGAATTATTTCTTTATTTTTTCCCACAAAAACCCCAACATGCTGCCATTTAGGTATGATGGGTTTAGTACATTTAGTTATTTTTGTTGAACAGCATAAACTTCAATCCCCCTCGGCCCTCTTACTCAATTATATCTCTGTTTTACCTTTCAGAAATACTTCTCACTTCTCACCATTACTTTTAACCTGCTGGCCTTCCCCGGAGTCAGGGCGGAGCTTATATTCCATATCCACGAGGGACAAGAAGAAGGAACTTTTATTGGAAATGTACGGGACGGTATTGTATCGCCGACGGCGATGCGATTCAAACTCTTGGCCCATACAAACTATTTTGACTTGGATGCCCAGACTGGAGATTTATACACGACATCCGAGAAACTTGACAGAGAGGTTCTATGCCCTTCTGAAACCGCGGACCGGTGTTCCATGGCGCTGGATATCTTTACCACATCCCAGGAATATGCCGAGTTTTCCAAAGCGAAGCTTTTTATTCTGGATATCAACGATAACGCCCCTTATTTTCCAGAACAGACCTACACCCTCTCCCTTCCAGAGGACACAACCATAGGGACCAAATTTCACATTGACCACTTGGCCAGAGACGCAGATACCCAAGATAATGGAGCCGTGTCATATCTTCTGGTGAGCCCAGATGATGTGTTTTCTTTGGATTACCGATCTGAGCTGATATCATTGGTTCTGATGAAGTCTCTGGATAGAGAATCACAAAGTGAACATCGGCTGACTCTAATTGCTGTCGACAGAGGACAACCGCCATTGTCTGGAACTACTACTTTTGTTGTGAAGGTGACCGATGTCAATGATAACTGCCCTTATTTCCTTGCAAACAACATTTCTGTGCACCTTCCCAGGGACGCATCTATGGGTACCGCTGTGGCACAAGTTATAGCGGTTGACAAAGACGCGGGTGACAATAGCGTGATTCAGTACCATTATAGCTACAGAGTTTCTGAGTCCATCCGGAATCTTTTTCATCTGGATAGTGCTAGTGGTACGATAACCTTGTCCGGGTCTTTACCTGATGACGTAACCCAACATAAGCTTACTGTATTAGCCTTTGGCTATGGCTGCGCACCGGCGATGGCAACAGTCACGGTACAACTAGAAATTAAACAACAAGAACCCAAAATGGAATTCCGCTTTATAGGCTCTCAACGCGAAGGCGGTGTCTACATCAAGGAAGACATTCTGCCAGGTTCCATCATCGCCATCTTAGAGGTCACCGATCCCGATGATAGCATCGAGAGGCCTCTTTCCATTACCGGACCTTCACCTTTCCTTCTAAAGCCCTCTGATTCTTCTCCTAACACATACCTGCTGTTGACCTCCACTCCGGTGGACTTTGAGACAGAGAATCGTTTTGACATTACCATCGTTGGCCGTTCAGCTTTGGATGAATCTGTCGCCTACACCGAAAATCTCACGGTGCTCATAGAGGACGTAAATGACAATTCTCCCAAATTCACAGCAAATTTTCTAGAAATATCTGTTGAAGAAAATAATCCGCCAGGAGACACGTTAATGAGGGTCTCAGCTTCTGATGCTGACAGTGGACCCAATGGAGAACTAAGTTATTACCTGGAACAGGAAGATTCCAACGTGTTTTCAATCAACAGTACAAATGGGGTCCTAAAAGCTTTGGTGTCTTTCGACAGGGAAAAGAATCCTTCTTATTCTGTTCGGATCATAGTAACAGACCATGGTTTGCCATCAAAGAATGATTCTTGCCTAATTGTCATAAGCATCTTAGATCAAAATGACAATGCGCCTATTTATTCTTCCCAGGAGTTTGTATTTTATATCCCTGAAAATCTTCCTCGAGGAGGAAACGTTGGCATTATAAATGTGACCGACGCGGATATCGGACTGAATGGGGACTTTTCTGTTTCTTCATTGAATGAGACCTCACTTTTTTCATTCAACCACGATACCATCCTCAGATCTCGAGGTTCTTTTGACTATGAAAAGGAAAGGATGTATGAACTTTGGGTGGAAGCCAAAGACAAAGGAAGTCCATCCTTGTCCTCCAGGGCCAAAGTTCTTGTCTTTTTACTGGATGTAAACGATAACGCTCCTTTAATAGTTCTTCCAGAGTCAAACTTCTCGTATGTGTTAGTACCTCCAGATACATCGAAAGGATCTCCGGTTACCAAAGTTCACGCTGTGGATTATGATGCTGGCATGAACGGGGCCATAACCTACAGTGAGTTTGGTGAAATGAGCCCTAATGCCGATCTTTTTAAAGTTGACAAGCATTCGGGCAACATTACATTGAAAGAAAGTATCAGGGAGCATCAGTGTGGCCTCTATCAACTCCTAGTCAAGGCAAGTGACCAAGGCTTCCCCGAAGCCCTTTCGACTATTGTGAGGGTCAACATTCTTCTCAACCAAAGCATAAGTAACCGGACCTACCTTGAATCCTTGATCATGAGCTGGACAGTTATAACCCAAGAGAGCCAGGTCATCTTGCTGAGCCCATGTCCGCAGAACCCCCAAACCATGGCCATGTTCTCCTGGTCTCTGGCAGCCCCGGTTGCCCTTGTTGTTGTCTCAGTTTCTGTCATATGCTGTGTGATGGGAACCTGTTTGTTTCTCTATTCAAGGAGGAAAAACTCTAGAAAGAAGCCGAGTCCAGATGTACAAGTTCCATTACAATTAAATAAGGATTACAGTGCCAAAGACTGGGATGAAGTCAAGTACTGTAAAGGCTCTGAAACGCCATTGACACAGCAGTGAACCCAGATAATATTTTGGGTGGTCGTTGCTGCCCAGAAGATTTGATTTGTTGTAAAATCATTCTTTTTTGCTCTATTTTAGGGCTTTTTTAACAATTCTGTAATATATTCTTCCTATTATTTCTGTCTCTTCGTTTGCTTATCACTTTTCTTTCACAGCCAAATTGATATATTCTTCATGCTAAAGCTCAAAATCATCACACACGTTACCAAAAATGTCAAATGAATGACGTGGAGGCACAAACGTTACCATAGTACAAGACTGTGGCATAACAGCATGTTTTAGACCATTCTGGATCTTTGGTCAGGGTTTAAGAGGCCCGCATTCATCAATCTGTTCTGCACTGTCGTCCACAGACGGTGCTGAAGGGTACATGGCCAACAATGGAGCCGCGCAAACCCAAAATCAGAAATAGCCAACACGCCTTCAACAATTTAGATTCAAAATAGGGATTTTAGTTGTATACATTTTCAACTATGTAAGAAAGCCCCGTCAGGACCCCTCTGTGTGTGGGGGCCCGAACTCTTTTTGTTAGGAATATATAAATCATTTAATGTCTGGGCACAGATGCACTTTGTGAAAGGGGCTTTATCTCTTATGGTCTCCATTGAGGCTCACAAAAAACATTCAGTGAGCTATTAAAGTGTATGTACACCCCAAATCCATTTTGCAGGATATGTGGCATCACACCCACACTGTATACAGTTTTTTTAAAAAATCAAATACATTTTTGTGAATCTGTTTCTTACCGGGCGTTCTTGCCAGTAACAGCATTTTCTGCTGCAGGCTTACAACACTAAGCCGCTGCCATGCAACAAGTATTGTCACCCAGTGGCTTCACAAGGGGGGTGCGGCCCGCATGCGGGTGACACCACTGGAGTCATTTTGGTGTCACCCAGGCCTGGCGCTACCGCAAGGCAAGTCAGGCTGCCTCCTGAGGGCGCTGCAGGGTGAGGGCGGAAAAAACAGGGCATTTTGATAAGTACTTGTACTTGTCAAAATGCTACCCCTGTTGTCACCCTGCCATCTGCAGGAGGCATGCTCAAATCTGATAGGCAGCCCAAAGGCCACGCACAGCACGCATGCACAGTAGCCTAACAACGCTGCTGCTAATAGAGAGGCAGCATCTTGGCGTTGTCAGCCTGAACAAGAAGTGCTGTTATTGGCGGGACCTCCAGACAAGAAACATTTTATGAGATTCACACAAAAAAAAATTTGCTGAAGAACATTGTATACAGTAAGGTGATACACTAAAACTTAGTTAAAATATATAATGGGTTTACATATGCTTTAATGCCATCCAGAGCACTCAGCCATTGTATTCGACTCCCCAATCCACGCTCTGTAACATCCATTGCAGCACACACAGCTCTACAGAGCAGCTTCACTCAACCTCTTATCCCGAGAGGAGCCCTTAGAAACATTCTATCTAGAAGCCATCAGTATATTATCAATATCAATACATTATAGTTATAATGATAAATAATAGAATAAAGAATATGGAATACTTGGAGAGTTCGACACTCATGGGAGATAACTTTTTAACTAAAGGAGAACTATGGGGTTAAGTCTTTTCCCCATAGTTCTCCTTAGGGTAACGGGAGAACACAAACTAGCGTCCTCCCGTCACCCTAAGCTCAGTATATAGGGAGCTACAGCTCGCGGTATACTGAGACGCCGCAGCTGAAGCGGATCCCGACAATTCTGTCTGGATCCGCCCAGCTGCGTGAGTGACAGCTGTACCCGCCCCATCCCCCGTCTGATCCACCAGTCAGCACTGGCGGATCGGAGCAGGGAGGGGGGAATCCAGCCCCTCCCCTGTCACGGCAGAGAGCCGTGACAGAATCGAGAAGTGAGCGAACGCCGGTATGTGTTCGCTCACCTCCTGATCTACTGAGCCGACCTGTGACAGTCTCATTGTCACAGGTCGGCTGGAACTATGAGGTGAGTGAAAAGCACTCACCTCATAGTTCTCCTTTAATAGATGGGAGCTGCTGGAGTCTGCTCTGTCCCTTGTGATCCTGTACTGGACAGGAGGTTCAGGGAAGCCGAGCTGAGAGAGTTGGAGCTGTTCGGAAACACGATGGCTGTAAGTGCTTAGGCAAAGCTGTCAAGAAATCCTTTGCTGGGTGATGTGTATTTACGTGATCCGGATTCATTATTGAGATTTTCTTCCAGACTTTGTTTAGTCTTCTATCCCTGCGCCTCCCATCCGCCATGTTGGTTGTACGGTGAGTGACGCGCTGATCCCCGGCGTGTAGCTTTAGGACATGTTTTTCTAGCACTTCCATGGCCTGTCGGCCTCCTCATAGCGGGAGAAGACTCCTCTACTTGTTACATAATAACTTTCATACTTTCCTAAATTGTTTTTACAAAGTTGTTGAGAGATCTGAATCAATATTTCACTGAATGAGATCTCAGCGCCCCTCCCCCTTCCCCCCTCCCCCGGAGTACAATACCCGACGACGGAGAGACACTTACAGGATTTGACGTTTTTGTGTTTAGATAAAGATCACAAAAAAATAACATTTTGATGATCCTTCATGAGGATATTTGACAAACACAAATATTGCGCAATATACAATCTATTCTCTACATCGGGGGGAGGGTAAGCTCGGGCCATACAGCTTGTGGAGGAGACCGCAAATCCCATCATGCACCTGCCTCTGGGAGTCATGCCTGTGGGGGGTCAGAGTCTTGCAATGTCTCATGGGACTTGTAGTTCCACAACGGCTGGAGGGATGGAGTTTGGTCACCCCTGCCCTACATGTTTCCATTCGCTGTTACCCAATTTAAGGTGCAACTGAATCCGACCCTGAGTGGGGACACTCGCTTTTGGTGACCACCAGGGGGTTTCCCTCACTTTGGAAGGGTTTTCTTTCACTTCCTGTTGTGGCTATCAGACAGGAAGTGAAGCAAAATCTCCCCAATGGGACACAGGTGGCAAAAAATAAAACTGACGGGCTATAACCCCGTCAGGTTTTTATTGCTGTCTGTGTCCCGGTTAGGGAGATTTACCCCCTTTATTTTCCTGGGGACCATTATCAGTGAAAGTGAAGGATAAAATTACATTTTGGGTTGTCACCAGAACAGGAATATATGGGACATCTAATGGGGACACTAGTTCTGGTAATTAACTCGCTTTGGAGAGATTTGCTCTCACTTCCTGTTGTGGAGATTGAGGTGAACAAAGGCCCCAATTCCCATTAATGGAGGGGAACAAATCCCATCATGCATCTGCCTCTAGGAGCCATGCCTGTGGGGGTCAGAGTCTTGCAATGCCTCATGGGACTTGTAGTTCCGCAACGGCTGGAGGGCCACAGTTTGGTCACCCCTGCTCTACATGTTTCCAATCACTATTACCCAATTTAAAGTGCAACTGAATCCAAAAAGTTTTTTTTCTTAGTTTTGTATGGAGAAGGATCAGAACCCCCTTGTCAAGTTTTTATTGCTGCTGGTGTCCCCATTAAGGAGATTCGCCCCCTCTGTATCTGTCCTTGTGACCCGTTACCACTGAAAGTGAAAGAAGATCCCACATTTTTGGGTTGTCACCAGAACAGGAATATATGGGAAATAAAATAAAAGTAAAAATACAATAAGAAGAAGAAATAATCATTAAAAAATAAAAAACAATGTAAAAATTATTTAAAAAAAATAATAAAATAAAAAAAAACATAAAAAAAGTAAAAGATAATAAAGAAAAATTAAAACCAACCCTGCCGCCCCTGCCATCTGTTTGCCACTCTCCAATGGGTACGGTTGCCAGGGAGGGGGGCACACTGAAGAATCTGGCCTTGGGGCAGCAGTGAGAGGGTTTTCTTTCACTTCCTGTTGTGGCTATCAGACAGGAAGTGAAGCAAAATCTCCCCAATTGGACACAGATAGGAACAAAAATGAACTAATAGAGATTATAACCCCGTCCGGTCTGTATTGCTGTCTGTGTCCCGGTTAGGGAGATTTACTCCCTCTATTTTCCTGGTGACTGTTATCAGTGAAAGTGAAGGATATAATAACATTTTGGGTTGTCACCAGAACAGGAATATATGGGACATCTTCCAATGGGAACGCTAGTTCTGGAAATCAGCTCGCTTTGGAGAGATTTGCTCTCACTTCCTGTCATAGCGATGGAGGTGAACAAAGGCCCCAATCCCCATTAATAGAGGTGAACAAAGGCAGACATATTCCTAGTCCAGCCTGTGTGGCAACTATGACTCCCCCTCCCCCCATAGACACAGTGGAGGAGTGAGTGTAGCCACCCAGGGACAGGAAGTGCGTTATTGGCAGGATCACCGAGTGAAAAAAAAAGGAAAACTACTGCGGCCGCCACATCTAACGATGAGAAAGCTGCAACATGTGACGTTTTTGTTCTTAGGTTCAGGAACACATAGAGATCTGGCCTGAAGGGTTTCTCTTCACCAAACTGGAATTTCCGTCTTAATTATCCGGCCGCAGTAGTCTATATTTAAAGCGATTCTTCGCTCATGTGACCTTTAAACTCGCTGGGGGAGGGGCTCTGGATTCTGCGCTGCGCAGGACGAATATTAGGAATAAAGTGTCCGCGGCCTTCCATAAATATGGCGGCTTTCCAAAGGAACATTCGAATCTCTGACCAGAGTTTACACCCTCCGCTACCCGGAGACATGAGGACGTTACAACGCAGGATGATCGACCCCGGGACAGAGAACGAGAGAGAGAGCGAGGGAGAGAGAGGGAGAGGGAGGGAGAGAGAGAGAAGGGAAGAGTAGAGAGAGAGAACGAGAGAGAGAGAGAACGAGAGAGAGAGAGAGAGAGAGAAGGGGAGAGAGAACAAGAGAGAGAAGGAGAGAGAGAGAGAACAAGAGAGAGGGGGGAATGAGAGAGAGAACAAGAAAGAGAGGGAGAGAAGGAGAGAGACTGAGATAGAGAGAGAGAGAAAACAAGAGAGAACGAGAGAGAGAGAGAGAATGAGAGAGAGAACGAGAGAGAGAGAGAGAGAACGAGAGAGAGAGAGAGAGAGAACGAGAGATAGAGAAA